ACTATTTTTTTGGGGGGGGGTACCGGGCATTGAACTCAGGGGCATTCAACCACTGAGGCACATCTCCAGCCCTTTTTTTAGTATTTTATTTAGAGATAGAGTCTCACTGAGTTGCTTAGCGCCTCACCGTTGCTGAGGCTGGCTTTGAACTTGCAATCCTCCTTCCCCAGCCTCCAGAGCCACTGGGATTACAGGCATGTGCCGTTGGGCTGACGACTCATTAATCTTGTGTTATTTTCTGTTGATAACATTTATTAGTGCCTATTATGTACTGGGCACTTGCACTAAGTTCTTTATGTACATTATCTCCTTTTAACTTCAAAATAGCCTTTATATATATGTATATATATCTAATTATTATCTTCATTTTACAAATATGGAAACTGAGGATCAGAGTTAAGTGACTTGCTTAAGGCTAACAGATGATTGAACCCCATCGCAAATTCATCTTCATTTGACCATAATTTCCTACTTAACATTTACAGTTAGCAATAAAAGGGAGGGGATTGTAATAGGAAAGTGGTGCATTGAGAGACTGGCAGTTCCAATTGGGGCCATATGGTTTTTAAAAACGTTTGTATATGTGTGTGAAGCTGGAGATTCATCTGGGTCTTCTGACTTTTCACCTCAGCCTCTACCTATCTGTCTTCTTCCACCTGCCACATATGGTCTTTGCTGTCCCAGGTGGTACCTGCCTGCTGTTTTCAGGGGCTGGGATGATTTTAATCCCCTTGCAAATTTAGCGAAAAACTACTCTGCATTACAGCTTTATCTCTGAACTCATTTGCCACCCAGAAACAGGGTTTGCCCACCTTCTGGTGTCTACCCAGACTCAATTTGCTAAAGTGCTTTCTGACCTCATTTTCTCTCCCCAGTTGCTTGCAACACCAGCTGAAAAAGTTTCTAGGACAAAGCCACCTGGTCTGTGTGCTGGCGGTGGCAGGTGTGTTCTCGCTGATATGGGGTGAGTAAGACAGGAATGTGTGTGATTGGCATGATTCTTAACAATTAGGGAGAATGTCCAGCCCTGCAAGACCCAGGGTGGTAACATTTGTGTTGGGAAATAAAGTGAGAGGCAGAGGAAAAGAAAAGACAGAAAGTTAATGAAGAATTGGTGATGTGAGGAAAGGCTTTAGTCTTGCCCTCTGTATGGTTTTCCCCTGAACTGGTTATTTGAGGAAGTGAGTGAGTTAGGGAGTTTTCTCCTAGAATCCACTCATAGCACCTGAAGGGTTCTGGAAGTAATGCTGCAAAGTCAGGGCATTCTGGGCAGAATCGCTTATCTGAAATATGGCCACAGATCATGCGGGGGTAAATGAAACAAGCCAGAAATCAGAGTGCCAAGGATCATCTTGGGTGGTGCTTGATTAATAAAAGGTGAAAGAAAGACTGTAACGCAGAGTAGAGAGTGTTGAGTAACTTCCATCTCAATCACAGCTAACATTTATTGAACACTTAATATGAGCAAATGGATGCACTAAGAGCTAATGGACGTGAATCATCTCATTTCTTTTTCAAACAACCCTCTGAGGTAGGTACTACTATTATCTTCAATTTACAGACAGAGAATTGGAGGCCCAGAAGCATAAGTGACACACCTAAAGCATACAACTATGGAGGGGAAGAATCAGAATTTGAATTTTGGCATTTCTCAAACCTAAGCCTGTGAATTCTTAACTTCGATGCTTTACTGCCTGTCCTAATTGGGAAGTGTTATTAAAGTATAACAGAGTGAGGAGGAAAAGCGATCAGCTATTCAGGATCTCATAATCCTTTCGAAGGTTTGCAAAGTTCTTCTGGCTCGACTGTCTTATGGAGAGGAATAAGAACTGGTGGGATTAGCCCTATGAGGGTCCTCCACTGCCTGTTGATCTTACTTGTTGGTTTGAAATAATTGCATGCTGTAAAAACCTGCAGCCATTTCTCAAGTTTTCTTTTTACACAATCAGCTTGGAAGGGATTTAGACATGTAGGCACAATGGGCCAATTTTTTCTCTCTCTTTGGCTGGCACCATGAGGTGTGACTCTATTGGTTCCACCCTAGCATTCTGGCTGGCACAGGATGCATCAGAACTCTTTGAGCCAACAAAAAGATCCTGATGAGCTTGTTTTTCAGATGAGCCTAGGTGAGCAGAACAGACTTTGGGTTTAAAAAGCTCATGCATAAAATGTTAAATGACTTTTTTTCAGAGTGCCAGTTCATTGGTGAGTCTTTTGAAAGAGGTATTTTACCAAATGGTACCCTGTGACAACAGGTTATTTATGCCCTCTTAGGGGCTAACTTTATACTTAGTATTATCCTAGCCTGGACTCATCATAGACTCAAGTTTAATAATAATACCTGTTACACTCTCCTGCAAAGGTTATCACTGCTTCTGTGTTTTGTAGAATGTTTCATGCACGCAGGGCACAATAAACAGTCAATAATAATATTTACTATGATAATGATCATCCAAACGCCTTTCATCTAAGTCTCTCAAAGTGCTTTGCAAACACTAATTAGTTAAGCTTCACAGTGGCTCTCTGTTTTTACAATACATTTTCCCATTTTACAGAATTTTAAATTGAGACCCAGAAATTTAAGTGGCTTGCCCAAAGTCTTACAGCAAGGTTAAATTAATGTTAATGATGATGCTTTGCATCTACTCAGCCAATGTTCTCTAAGGTGATACAGTATGTTGCAAAGATAATTTTCATACTATCCTGGAGGAAGGTGTGCAGCAAGTATTGCTAGCTGTTGACTAGGTTGGGTTAACTGAGGCAAAGGGGGCGAGTAACTCAGGAGAATTTGACTGAGGTTACAAATCCAATCCTGTGACTCGAAGCAGAGGGTGGCATCCAGGAACTTTTCAGTTCTCTTAACGGAAGGATACATGGTTGCTTTCACACTCACAGGAAAGATAGTTATATTTCTGGGAGTCAGACAGGTTGCAGAATGATGCCGCATTTATGTTTAGGAATAGGTTTGTTCATGTCCTTACTGAGAGAGGCGAAAGGGATAAGATGAGCAGTTCAAGAAAGAGCAGCTCAGAGAATGAAGGAAACAAGGGTGGTGGGGAGGCTGCCAGCTCTGCCCTTTCACAGGACATCTTCACTAACTATGTCCTCCCCAAAGCAAGAGCCCTTCAAGGCTTGGTTCTGTTTCAGCCTTATGACAGGCCTTGGTCCAGAGTGGCTTGGAGGGCACTGGCACCTTAGTCTGAGGTTACAAGTCTCTGCAGAAGAGTGCCAAGGACATCCCGTATCTTGATGGCTTTCTCTTATGTATAATCAGCTCTCGTCTTAATCCCCTGTGCCTTCCAGAAGGGCCCTGTGAATCCTGAGAGCTGTGCACCTACTCATTGCTACCATTTCTTAGCAACACAGCCACACACAAAAAGATGAAAACCTGAAGAAAGTATGTGAAGTTGATAAGGGACTTGCTTCCTCCCAGTCTGGCAACTTGTCCTTAGTGAGTATTGACACTCCTGAAAGGCAAGTCAGACTTTTGCAAGGAGGGGGAGGGACAGGTTGCTGGACCTTAGGAATTCAAGGGGAGATTTGCAGACCCAGAGATAGAGCCCTTTTCTCTATAAACAAGGCATGTTTGAGAAAAGTTTGCTCCCCTCCCCCACTTTGCCTTTGCAGGCCTCTGGATTCTGATTGATGACTAGACCAGGGCTAATGGAGACTTAAAGAGGAGTGCCAAGCCCTTTTCTGGAATGTATTCACATACACACACACACACACACACACACAACAGCAATAAAGTCTGTTGTGAAGAAATCACAACAAAGTCCAGCTTCTCCCCGCTCTCATTTTTGAATGTTCACATACACCCCTACCACATGGGTGGCTTAAAGGTACAGTGAACTGGAGAAGGGCTAAGCTTTTGGAGGGAAAATTTCAGAAAATTGTTCCAAATGTATAAGCTCTTCTCCTATGTGAGGAAGTCCTGTGCACACCCCCGCAACACAATACTATTTGTCAGAGCAGTTTTGGGACCCTCCTCCCAGTATTAAAGCTTGTTTTAGGCAAGACTTCAAGGAATGCAGCTTTGATTTTCTAAGCATGCCAACAATCTAAGCCACAGCCTCTGTGTCCACTTTGGCACACTGACTCCAGGGGTGACAGTGCAAATAATCCTGCTGGACCCACAAGGACCATGTCCTTCTCTTGAGATGTTCCCTTACACAGCATCCCACAACAAGGCTCACTGCCAGGTAAGATAAGGTTCTTGGGGTGTGTTTGCAGAGCTGGACAAAGGAATTTGCATTATCTAGACACAAAAAGCATTATTAGGTAATCTCCTCTGTGGTTTCACAGGGTCGGTTGTTTTTCTTAGGGGACCTGCAGACCCTGACGCGTATTTTTTGCGTGTTTTATTCGTTTTGTAAAGTGAGACACATCTGCAGGACTTCTACACACATCTGTTGAATTTCACAGCCCAATCTTCGCTATCAGTCAGTCTACCCACATAGACGCTTCGCTCTCAAATGATCTGGGGTGTCAAGTATCTTGATAGCTTCAAACAGATTATGAATGAGCAATGTCATAATAGAGCTTTATGACTAGGAATGGGAAGACAGATTTGGGTAAAATTCAAACAATATCTGACATTTGGAAACTTTTTAGAGATCTCAAAAACAACCAGCAGTTGGATTTGTTTTCTCTCTTTTTCTCACCCTCTGGGCATTTCTCATGCACAGGTTTGGACTCAGAGCTGCAGAAGTGAAAGGCCCAAAATATAATCTAAAAGGGGTTCCTTATCTTGATAGCTGTAAACAAGAAGTAAGGAGAATTTAGAAAACTTTGGAAGTTTTAAGGAATTCTCAGATGGATTAGGTAGGTTCTGGATTCCCTCATGTCTCAGCAAAATGATAATTGTTCACGGAAACTTATCTCTAGGGAATTAATGGTGGCATTCCAAATGTAACTAAGAGAAGACTATCCCTGGCTCCATGTATATACACACACAACCTCCAAGTGGACATGATATTAACAATTAAGATCTTTCTTACCCCGTCCATGTGGATTCTGATACTGGGCACAGGCCGGAAAGGGCTGGCCTGCAGACCTCTGGGGCTGGTCCTGCTTTTTCTGCCGTCCTGTGAGGTTAGCACGCCCAGCCTGCGGAAGGAGCCCACTTTCCCGGAGCTCTGCCCTGAACGCACGCCATCCAGAAGACGCACCAGCAGCAGGTTGGCCGGCAGCGCCTCGATGCTGCAAAACACCAGGGTCCTGCATTCTGGACACCTCAGCTCCTTGTGGGCCTTGAAAATCCTCTGTAGACATGGTTTGCAGAAGGTGTGCTGGCAAGGAAGGACTTTGGCTGTGACGTCGAGCTTTTCAAAACACACAGGGCACTCCAGAAGATCAAGTAACGTCAAATCATCCATTTTATTTTAAAACTCCAGCCCGGTCCCTGAGGAGCAGGGTCCACATCGTAGGGGCAGTTGAGCCAAGCTGGCAGAGAAGGGTCTCTTGAGAGCGTCAGAATTCCTGCCTGTTTAAAAAGGAAAGGAGGGAAAAAATGTGACTGCTCTGAGAGGTATATCCCACCTACATTGAGGCAGTGTCTCATAAGGCTCTTTGCAAGTACTCTGTTCCGGAACCCAAGTTTCATATGAGTCATTCTGATTCAGTGCTAGCAGGTATAAAACTCCACTGGTGCCTGCTGCAAGAATCAGAGGGAACATTCAGCACAGCAACTGACTGCTCCTTGTCTCTGTGCGTCGGAGAACAGGGAGAGAAAACTGAGTTGCCCAAGGGGTTAGTCCTGCACCTCTACCATCCAGGGCAGGAAGGGGTCTTTTACCACTGCCTGGTGGAAGCTCTGGAACAGTCAAATCTTAATTCTCAAATCAAAGCCTGGTCAGATTGTAATTTCTGCGACACTACCTATCAATAACTCCGTCTTTCCCTAGATTTAAGTTTGTGTGTTGTCTGCATCACGTGCAGATAAGTTTAAGTAGGTAAGTTTCTATGAAACCCATGCAGATGTAGGATCACGTCCTTCACAATCTATCTTCCTCCGCTATTTCGTTCTGGCAACATACAAGTAAAACTACTACAAACTAATGTGCAAGAATTGTTTTGCGTTAAGCACAGGCTAGGGTACTTGAAAGCGCTCCCCCCGCCCCCCGCCCCCCAGCGCCTGATTGTCTTAGCCTCAGACACAATCTTCCTCCCACAAAGTAAAGTCGTGCAGCCTGTTTAGTTACTTCAACAATTGTTCTCAGTTTCAGCGGAAGCAGATAGGAATTCTGGATTGTGGTCACAACCTGTAAAAACCAAGACGAAGCAGCATGTGCAGGTAGGGTGTGTGTGTGTGTGTGGTCTGAAAACAATCCTGGTTTCAGAAACAGATCCCTTTTGGATATCTGAAACCAAGCCTCCAGTTTAGAAAAGTCTCCTGGGACGAAGACAGCTGTTCCTCCGCGTGCCAAGGCTTGGGCGAGCGCCGCAGCCGGGAGGTTTGGCAGGAGGGTGGCCCCGCGTAAGCAGGGCAGACACGACAAACGGGGATGAGAGATGGCGCCTCGCCTTCCCAGGACTCCTCTCTAAAGATGTTAGCGCGCGCGGCGGGCGGGGAGGCGCGGGGGCCACTAACCTTGTGCCTCTAACCTCGGCGGAGTTCTGCTCAGCCGGTCTTCGGCTCCGCTGCTGCGCGCCCTCCAGCTGGCTTCCCTTCCCCAAGTGCGCGGCTGCCACCGCTTTCAAAACTTTTAACAACTCAGAGTCCTACTCACTTCAAGGGATCGCCTTACCCGGCCCTGTTAACGCTTTCGCCGCCAGGCTGCTGCCTATCAGCTACGCTCTGCTGCTCGTCTTTCTTTTATGTCTCTGAGTCAATTTCTGGGGAAAGATTATCAGAAGCAAAAATAGAAGCCATCCCAGAAAGCCAAGTATTGACAAAGTTTGTATTTTCATTTTCCCTATTGTCTTTCCTATCCAAGAAGTCGAAACCTGCTCAGTTATAAAGATGCCAAGATGATCTTGTTTATTTAAGCCTTTATAAGTTTTTCCTGAGACGTTCAAACATTAATGGCAGCCACGATAAAAAGGATTGCCAGACACAGAGGAAAGACTGCTCCTTAAAGACCATGGCCAGTCCCTGAAGTTAGAAATAAGAGGGACTTCAGTGACCTTTGACTCAATCTCTTTAATTTAAAAAGAAAAAAAAAAGTAAGTGTACAATACACATACTTGAAATCAAAGTACAGAAGTTTCTTTCTTTCTTTCTTTTTTAACCAAGGAAAAGCAATTGTCCCAGTTCTTCTCCGGCCCTCTACCCACTGTAGTCTTTTCATATCCCAGATAAGGTCTTATACTTCCATTTTTGATTTGTCAATAGTGCATCTCATGCAAAGTTACAAAGGATTCCAATTGAGTAAGTAAATAATAATAATGTTACCTAACACAGGGATAGCCTTATCTGTGTCAAGCACTGTTTTAAATACCTTACCTGAATTTACCTGCTTAACCCTTTTAACAACCTAAGGATACACTAAACTCTTTACCTTCACTCTCCAGTTGAGGAAACCAAGACACACAGAGAGAACTCATCCCCAGAGTCACCACAGCTAGCAGAAGGTGGTCTGTGCTCTCAACTGCTGTGATAGAATGATATAACTTCAAGAGGAGAAGAGATGGTTCAAGGAAGCTAAACGTCATTTAGGATGGCAAGAAATCAAAATATAATGACCAAAATTGACCAATCAACTCTTGCAAATGAGGCATCTCTGCCCAGAGAGATCAAGAGATTCTTTGAAGTTGTCTGGTGAGTTAAGGACAGAAATGGGGCTTAGAAACTGATTGTCTTTTTAAAAATATATTTTCTGTTTCAAAATAAGTACCCATTTCTTTATTATTTGGAAAACACTCAGAGAGGTACGAGAAAAACCTTAAGAGGAGACCAAGAGGCCTGAAAACACTATTGTGGTTTTCTTATCTTTCAAAGTTCTTTCATGTCATCTCTAAAAAATCAAACATACATAAAGCTCAAAACAAGGGGGAACTTTGGGAAGGAGTGAATGAAATTATCTGTCTTCTGGCCACTGAGTCCTAATTTTCATGTCAGTTTCAGACATAATTTTTAACTTATTTTTTAAACTCCCCTTTGAACTTCAAAAACATCCCATCCTGCTGGGTTTGGTGGTGCACACCTGTAATCCCAGCTGCTGAGGCAGGAGGATCGCAAGTTTGAGGCAAGCCTAAGCAACTTAGTGAGACCCCATCTTAAAATTAAAACAAAACAAAACAAAAAGGGCTGAGGATATATCTCAGTTATAAAGCTCCTCTGAGTTCAATCCCTAGTACCCAAAAAGGAAAAAAAAAATCCCATCCCATTTCACTTTCCTGTATCCTTCAGTTAATTCAGTTAATTTCCTGTATCCTTCAGTTAATTCCCACTCTTGGTTCTGTGCCCATAAGCACATCTTTTTTTGTTTGAGGCTCTGTCTTCTCCTTACTGTTTCCCACTTAGTAAAGCTGCTGTCCTCTGTGAGCATCCCTGCAGTCCCCTCAACCCCAGAAAGGGCCACTCAATGCTAGAACATCTGCTGCTGGAGTTGCCAACATCCTACCTCCTTCCTTCTCTTATTCTTAAACACACTCTCTCTCCCTGATATTCCACATCTATACTTACATGAACACGCATGCTTCCATAATGATGCACACACACATAATCTTAATAACAGTAACATATATCAAATACTAGCTGCATAGCCCAACTGCTAAGACTTTATTTTTTTTTCTTCTTCTCAAATCCATTTTATTTATTTATTTTAATTAGGTATATATGACATTTTGATTCATTGTACATAATTGCAGTACAACTATTCATTTCTCTGATTGTACATGATGTAGCATTGCACCATATGTGCAGTCAAATGTGTACCTAGGATAATAATGTCCAACTCATTCCACCATCTTTCCTGGACCCATACCCCTTCCCCTCTTTTCCCTCCCTTTTGCCCAACCAAAATCCCTCCATTTTCCCCATGCCCGCCCACCTATTATGGATCAGCATCCACTTATCTGAGAGAACATTGTGTCTTTGGTTTTTTGGAATTGGCTTACTTCACTCAGCAAGATATTCTCCAACTCCATCCATTTACCTGCAAGTGCCATAATTTTATTCTCTTTTAATGCTGAGTAATATTCCATTGTGTATATATACCACAGCTTCTTTATCCATTCATCTGTTGAAGGGCATCTAGGTTGCTTCCACAGTTTAGTATTGTGAAAAAAGCTGCAATAAACATTGATGTGGCTGCATTACTATAGTAAGCTGATTTTAAGTCCTTTGAATATAGTGGGATAGCTGGGTCAAATGGTGGTTCCATTCTAAGTTTTCTAAGGAATCTCCATACTGCTTTTCATATTGGTTGTACCAATTTGCAGTCCCACCAGCAATCTAAGAGTGTGCCTTTTCCCCCACATCCTCACCAACACTTATTGTTGTTTGTATTCTTGATAACTGCCATTCTGACTGGTGTGAGATGAAATCTTGGAGTAGTTTTGACTCCAAGATTGCATTTATCTAATTACTAGAGTTGCTGAACATTTTTTTATATATTTGTTGATTGATTGTGTCTGTTCAGCTCCTTAGCCCATTTATTGATTGAGTTGTTTGTGTTTTGTTGTTAAGTTTTTTGAGTTCTTTATATATCCTGGAGATTAGTGCCTTATCTGACATGCATGTGGTGAAATTTTGCTACCAAAATGTAGGCTCTCTGTTTACCTCGTTGATTGTTCTTTTGCTGAGAAGAAGCTTTTTAGTTTGAGTCTATCCCATTTATTAATTCTTGATTTTATTTCTTTCACTTTAGGAGTCTTGTTAAGGAAGTCAGGGCCTAATCTGACATGAAGAAGATTTGGACCCATTTTTTCCTCTCTTAGGTGCAGGGTCTCTGGTCTAATTACTAGGTCCCTGACCCACTTTGAGTTTAATTTTGTGCATGGTGAGAGATAAGGGTTTAGTTTCATTTTACTGCATATGGATTTTCAGTTCTCCCAGCACCATTTGTTGAAGAGGCTTTTTTCTCCAATGTCTGCTTTTAGTGCCTTTGTCTAGTATGAGATAAATGTATTTATGTGGATTTGTCTCTGTGTTTTCTATTCCATACCATTGATCTACATGTTTATTTTGGTGCCAATACCATGCCATTTTTGTACTATAAACTATAGCTTTGTAGTATAGTTTAAGTTCAGGTAGTAAGACTTGAAACAGATTATCTTATTGAATCCTCCCTAGCATCCCATAACTTCCCTAGGGTTTCAAATCTTGTGAGCTCAGGTTGGTCTAATCCCAGGACTGGGTTTCCTTACTGTGATTGCTTCTCATATTATAAAGTCATATATATGCTATAAGTACATCTGTGATTGCTTCTCATATTATAAAGTCATATATATGCCATAAGTACATCTACATAGTTTCACTGTATACATCCATACTTTCATATATAAATCTGTTGTATATACACCAACTGATCCAAGGGCCAATCCAAGACAAGTTGATAAAGTCAAAAAAGGAGAATTGCTGTCCATCCATAGTCTATCCAACTTAATGGCTCCTTCAAGCCCCTGCATGATCAGTAGTCTCAAAAATCTTCAAACTCTTCTATCTCTTAGAAAATCCAATCAAACTAGCTCAGTCCCAGGAAAGCAGGATAAATCCCGTGAGTTACTCTTTCCTAGGATACTTGGCAATTGGAAATTCAGACCGATAAAATTGTGATGGGAGAATTTTGGGCACTAGTGAAGGACAGAAAATTTACACCGGAAGGGAGAAGGGTTCTTTTAGTGCCTCTCAAATCACACCTGTAGGTGGTCCCCAGTACCACCCACATATGAGGATAGTCTTGAGAAAACATTTTCTTTTGAAGTTTAGGAGAAGGAGGAGAGTTTTAAATGGGGATTACACCCCAGCTTAGCTGAATGCTAACTTGGCATCAAACTAGACAAATGTTTAGTCCTTAAAAATAAAAAGGTGAACTCCACATGCCGTGCCAGACCCCAGGACCCCCACTGTACCCATCCTGCCAATACTTCTATTCATATTTGTACAGTTATGCAGTAGTTACAGGCTGCATTCTTTGTTTCTTTCTTTTTGAAATAACTGATGTTTTATTTTGGAGGTACAAACCCAAGGCATTAGGAAAGAGCAAAAGGAAATGAGGCAGGGAAGATGGAAGGTAACACAAGACAATGCATTTCCAAGCTGGACACTGCTTCATGACAAGCCTTGAGGAGGCCCAGCAGGTGTGTACACTGGCTACTTGGGAATCTCCCCATCAGCTGTTCTGTTAGGGAAGAGCAGTGCCTTGGAGCAATTCGTGGAAGAGAGAGAAGAAGGCAGAATTGATCTGCATGTGTCTCTCTTACCTTCCCCTTCCCATTAGTTGAAATTTAACCCCATGAGCATGAAATGCCCCATACTTCAAGATTGCTGGGGCTACATGGATGCTGGACCCCATGCCCTGTGGTGGACATTCCATCTAAGTCTGGTAAGAGAAAACAGAAACTCTGGGCATATGGATGATGAGTACCAAAGAGAATCTGATGCAATATATATGACATGTCCAACACAGGCCAGTACTGTCTTTCTCATTTTCCAGAAGAGGAAATGAGGTGTAGTGACCAAAGATCCTTCCTAAGGTTACCTGGCTCCTGAGTGGAAAGTTCAAGATTGGAATATAGTCTGGCTCTGAAAA